ACAACAAAACAATCTCGAATGGCATGGAGGATGGTATCAGTAGCTTCATTGCAGATAGGACAAGCATCACTAACATCACACCATTGGGCACTCTAGCTCCTAGTGGGCAAACATTGATGCATTAATTTCCAACAAAATAAACGAACTCTTTGCTGAACTTTTGCTTGCCAAACCATGCCCCGGGGTCTAAGAGAAGCTTCTGGATGAGGTTGCAACGCTGTGAGGGCGTTATAAGCACCCTTGATAGATATGTCAGCACTTCCAGAAAGATTCTACCTCATTTTATCAGACCCTGCATCACTCAAAGGAGGAGGAATACTACGAATACAGTCAACTATATGAGGATCCACCCATTGAGAAATTAAATTATAATTCCATGATCCCTCAACAGTAGTAAAATCAGTTGTTTTCTTGTTCATCATTTTATATGGGATAGTATAAATAGCATGATCAGCAAGACAATCAAGGGACTGACACCAATTATCCAACCAAAAATTTACCTGTTGCCCATTACCAATTTTCCATTCCAACTTATCCTCCATTTTGAACCATACCCTGCTAAGATTAGTCCATAGCTGAGAATAACCATGCTTTGAAACAAAAGAACCTCCCTTATTAATCCTTTTAGCATACTTTGAGCAGAGAACTTGGACCCAAAGAGATTTGTTACCACTAAAGATATTCTAAACCATTTTTGCTAGTAAAGCATCATTCATAATTGACAACCTTTTTAAGCCCATACCTCCAACTTTCTTTGGTAAAGTCAAAGTTTCCCAGCCAATCGGATGATTCTTCCTCTCACCATTTGGGCGACCCCAAATAAAATTACGTTGAATTCTCTCAATCTCATCACACACACCTGTAGGAATTTTTCCATTCTGCATATGGAAATATGGAATGGCAGAAATAATAGATTGAACCAGAGTGAACCTGCCTGCCTGGGAAAGGGAATGAGCATTCCAGGAATCTAGTTTACTCTTCACCCTATCCACAATGTGAGCATAAGAGTTTCTTGTAACTCTACCATGTTGCATCCAAGCTCCTATATACCTTCCTAAGTTATGAACTCTCTTGAACCCGCTCACAGCAACTATGTCTTCAGCCAATCCATCAGGCGTGTTCCTTGAAAAATAAATGGAAGTTTTAGGAACACTTAGTCTTTGCCCCGAAACATCAGCAAAAAGACTAAGACATTTAAGCACATTTGACATTTGATCCACGTTCGCTTCAGCAAAAAGGACTAAGTCATCCACAAACATAATGTGGGAAATACTAGGTCCATTACGCCCCACTCGAATGGGGTTCCACAACTTCCCATCCACTGTCGTGTTAATAATATGAGATAATTTTTCCATACCAAGAACAAAGAGATAAGGGGATAAAGGGTCACCCTACCTTAGACCCCTAGAAGGAGAGAACTCCTCAGTTAAGAAACCATTCCAAAGAACATTTATCTTTGGGGTAGAAATAGCTGCCATCACTACATCAATTAACTTTTGAGGAAAATGAGCTTCTTCTAGGGAACGACTAATGAAACCCCAAGACATTCTATCATATGCTTTCTCCAAATCAACCTTAATAGCCATGAAGACTTTCTTGCCTCTCATCTTGTGCATAGTATGAATTAGTTCCTGAACAATTACAATGTTGTCTTGGATATGTCTATGAGGGAAAAAACTGACCTGGCAAGGGGAAATTAACTCTTCCATAATAGGCTTCATTCTATTCACCACCACCTTGCTAAGAGTTTTATATACTGAACATAATGAAATGGGATGGAATTGGCTGATATTTGTTGATTTTTGGATTTTTGGAATAAGGACCAGCAAGGTGGAATTTATATTCTTGATGCAGGAAGGATTAATCCAAAGAGCTTGGATTAACTCAAAACTTGCACTTTGACTCTCTCCCAATTCTCCTGAAAGAAAGCAGCTGGGAACCCATCTGGACCTGATGCTTTGAAGGCATCCATGGAATTTAGACTATAAGTGATTTCTGCTTGAGTATGGATAGCAGACAACCTGTTAAGAACATCTGAGTTACCAGCTGGCCAGTTATTAGGAGACGATAACCACCTTCTATTGGAGACTTCCTCTGAGAAAAGATTCTTAAAAAAATTGCATGTTATTCCTTTAAGTTCTTCTGGATCAGACACCATTTGGCCAGCTCCATTTTGTAGCCTAAGAATCTTGTTATGTGATCTGCGGGCTACAGTTTTAAGGTGGTAAATTTGGTGTTCCTATCACCATCAACAATCCACTGCTCTTGATTTTTGGAACCACATAAGTTCCTCTTGATACAGAATCTCACCAAAGTTTTGTTGTAAAAGATCTTCTTGAGCTTCCATCTGATGTGAGTCATTAATAGCCTTTTGGTTTTGAGTACCAGAAAGACATTTAACCAGAGATTCCTTCCTTCAGTTGATATTACCAAAGACTCGATAATTCCAATTACGAGAGAGAGGAGTAATCTGGAACAACAAAGATGCAATTTCTTGATTCTGCTTCCAATGAGAATTAAGGTAACCTTCAAACTGGGGGTGAGACATCCAAGCTGCTAAGAAGCGAAATGGCTTATAGCCACCATCTTTAGAATCCTGTAAAATCTTCATAAGTAAAGGGTTATGATCAGACTTAACCCTATGGAGTGCAGTTACTTCAGCTTCATCAAAATGTAATCTCCAAGTCAGATTACCACACAATCTATCTAGACGCTTAAACACATGGTCAAGGTGGCTCAATTTGGGACCTTGCCAAGTGAAAAAAGAGCCAGCTGTATCAAAATCCACCACCGAACAAGCTTCCAATACTTCAGCAAATTGGGAACAACGATTAAATTTCAGGGGAGATCCACCTCTGAGACTCTAGCTATTTCATTAAAGTCACCTCCCATGAGCCAAGGTCCTCTAATATCATGGCTGATATTATAAAGCTCAGTCCAAAGCTATTGGCGAGCTTGATCAAATGGACTAGCATAAACAAATGTAGCAAAGAAATGTAATTGTCCCCGGAACAAGAGCTTCATTAGTGTTTAATTACTAAAATATAAAATATACACTTTTAAAAGCTTAAAAAAATTAATCAGATGATTAAGTTAAATTAAAAAAAATCAATGTATAATTTTTTTTTTTAAATAAATCATAAATTCGATTACTGGACCATAATAATTAAATTAAATGGGATTGATATAAAGAATCAATTATCCAAGCTAGTTTAATGTAACCATTGTAATTAATTATGTGGAACATTATATTTATTATCATTTTAAATTTACCGCTCTTAGTGTTTGTTTGGGTCTTCTTCTTTTTTTTTTTTAGTTTTTTTTTTTTCTCTTTTTATAAACAAAAGTTATGACAAACATATTTTACAAAAGCTCTTATAATATAAAGAGTTTTTTTGTTACCAAGAAAAAAGTCAAAAGTCAAAAGTTTTTAGGAAAAACTTTTTTATAAGCACTTATCAATTTTTTTATATCTGCTTTTTTATAATGAAGAAAATAGTTAAAAGTTAAAAGCTCATTCTAGGAGTTTTTTTAAGCTCTTATATATATTTTTTGAATTGTATGCTTTTTTTTTCTATAATGAAGAGTTATAAAGATAGAGAAAGAGATAATTTTCTTGAAATATGTGCTTTTAAGCTAAAATTTTATGTGATTACCAAATAACTTTTAACTTTCTTTTAAGCTCTTTGTTTAGCTTTAACTTATAAGTAGCTTCTAGCTTAAAAAAGATAGGATTCAAACAAACTCTTGGAATGTGTATTTTTTGTTTGTTTGAAATGAACAGCTTTTAAGTAACTTTTAAGCTAACTTTAAATGACACACCTTACATCCTTTCACTCTCACAAAAAAATGGGACCCACATCTTTAAAAAAAATTCTCCTCTCTCTCTCATGATTTATCTCATTCTCTCATTTAAAATGACACAACTCTATGTCCTTTAAAATAATACACATTTTTCGCTTTTTTAATAATCATAATAATTTTCAAACTGTTTTTAACTTTTCATTTAAGTTTTTTTTTTTTTAATTTTAACTTAAAAGTAACTTTTAGTTCAAAAAGAGAATATTCAAAGGGGCTCCGGTACTTGTTTGGTTACTATTAAATTAATTTAAAATCAATCTCAATTAATTTTTTTCCCTACTTTCATCATTAATTTTCAATTAATTTAAAAATAATTAAACAGGTAATAAAAATACTAAAGTGGTAAATATTAAGGGCTTTGTTTTTTTCTTTTCACATGATAACTTTTTTTTTCCTACACACATATTTAAGGTAGATTCCACCATTAAAAAATTAAAATAAAAATAAAAAAACAAAGTACATATCTAGATGTATGAATGACATATTCAAACTGTTTTTAACTTTTCATTTAAGTTTTTTTTTTTTTAATTTTAACTTAAAAGTAACTTTTAGTTCAAAAAGAGAATATTCAAAGGGGCTCCGGTACTTGTTTGGTTACTATTAAATTAATTTAAAATCAATCTCAATTAATTTTTTTCCCTACTTTCATCATTAATTTTCAATTAATTTAAAAATAATTAAACAGGTAATAAAAATACTAAAGTGGTAAATATTAAGGGCTTTGTTTTTTTCTTTTCACATGATAACTTTTTTTTTCCTACACACATATTTAAGGTAGATTCCACCATTAAAAAATTAAAATAAAAATAAAAAAACAAAGTACATATCTAGATGTATGAATGACATAAAAAAATATTTTCTCCAACAACATAAAAAAATATTTCTACAAACATTAATTATCCAATCTACTATTTTCCCCTTTATTTATTGAAAATGAAATACCCAACGCTGTGCACTGCTTATTTCCTCAGTCCTCGTTCTCCTTCGTCTCTAAGTTTCTCCGTACGTGTGAATTTTTTCAATTTTTGGTTTTAATTTTATCTTATTTTATTTTGTACCCAATAAACCAGATTTCATTGAGTTTTCAAGTCCGCGACCAAAAGTAAACAGGTCTTCTTCCCGCAACTTACTTTGGCACGCATTTTACGCTTCCGTTGTCTCTCTCTCACACTCTACTCTCGGTGACTGTGGTGGCGCGTGCTTCTCAACCGCCACTGCTCTCCCTCATTTTCTACCTGAGATCTTCATAGGTCCACTGGTGATTCCTTCCATTCTTTGCCGATTCTCTCTCTTGTCTCTTTTTTTCACCACGTTCTCATCTCTCATTAGCTCACAACTCATAGCTACGCTGATACGATGTCGCTTTGTCATTTATTTTTGTTTTTGTTTTTGTTTTTAAAATCCTTTATTATGTGTTTTCAACTACGTGCATTGGTTCTTGCTTGAATCATTCATCGTGAAAACTGGTGTTCCTTTCGCATGCTTCTCTTCTCTGCTAAGAATATATCAAGAATAAAAAAAAATAAAAAAAGGGTTTTTCTTGCTTCTTGAATCGATGGGTTTTTTTTTTTTAAAATGTTTTGGGTTTGTTTCTAGCGAAGGTTTTCGGCTTGTTTTACGTTAACCGTTGATGCATTTTAGTTGTGTGTGAGTGATCCCCACAAAATCCTCTTCTAGGCTCCAACCGAACAAAAGAAAGAAAAAAAGTTTTTCTTTTAAGGAAGAGATCGATTGCTCATCTTTATTTACAATATTACAATAACAACACCCTTCTTCTATAATTTAGTTGTATTTCAAATAAAATGTGTGGATTTAATATTTAAAGCAAAATAAAAGGTTAGTTTAAATGCAATTGCAAGTGCTGTTATTTCGGGCCCTTTTTGTGACAGAAGAATGCTATTAAATGTTAATTTCAATATCTGTAAAAGCTATGTTGTATTTCAATTTCATGGAATCACATTTTCTTCCTTTTAACTTTTATATGATGGCAAGCTTCATTTTTCTGAATCTTTTGCTATAACATGTTTTGTACCGTAAAGGCTTTCCCTTGCATTTGATTCATGTAAAAGCATTATCTTCGCTCTCACATTGCCTTGGTCTCTTTGTAGTTTTGCATTGAGATTCCTCCTTTAGTTGTTTTCTATTTGCTGTGTATCTACTACTTTCCAAGTGCTGAGTTCGAAATGAAATGTTGATTATGATCTTAATTTGAAAATGTAATTTATTAGTCAGTGAATGTTTCTACGGTGCTTAGATTTGTTTGTGTCTGTTGCTGGGCTGGGGTTTCTCTTTCTTCAACTATACAGTTAGGTTTACCCCTTTCTTGTTCTAATTGATGAAATAAGTTAACTGATATTATTGTGTCATGTTCCTTCTGGTTTATGATTCTTTATGCACTTTTACCTATTCTGCGTTTTCATTGTTGACTGACAAAAATCTTGATCCAGATTAGAGCACATACAAATGAGTTCAAAAAGAGGGGTTGGGAGACCTTCTGCTATGATTAACAATGATGATCTGTCATCCAAAGGGAAAAGCATATCTGACTCTCATCCAGAATTTGAGCAGTTGACCCAGGGTATTGCTGATGTGAACCTAGACTCTGGTGGACAAGATGATGGTGAATGGGAGGTATATGCAAGGAAACCCAAGAACAGAGCTGGAAGCAGTGCTCCAAAACAATGGGGTCCTCCAGCTCATAATTCTAATCCTAGGGCATGGGGGAATACAGATATGGCTCAAAGGACAGGCATTCGGAATCAGGGTGGAGTTGGAAGAGCTTCTGGAAATGCCTGGCAGACACAAAATGCTAACTTGAGGAGACCAGCTGGCAGAGGAAATGGAAGGCCCCAGTTAGCTACAAGTGGATATGAAAGCAACAATATGACTCCGAATCCTGTAATTCGGCCTCCGCTGGAGCATGGATGGAATTGGCAATCTAGAACTGGTTCAATGCAGTCCAATGCAAAGGATGAAACTGCACCAGAGTACCTTGAAAATAATAACGATGTTGATGATATTGATGATGATGACAAGGAGGAGTCTGATGGTTTAGAAGATACTGATGATGATCTAATGAGTGATGAATATGATTCAGACGCTAGTCAAAAGAGCCATGAGACACGTAAGAAGAGCAAATGGTTTAAGAAATTCTTTGAGATTTTGGATAGCCTGACTGTTGAAGAGATAAATGAACCAGAAAGACAGTGGCACTGTGCAGCTTGTCAAGGTGGCCCTGGTGCTATTGATTGGTACAGAGGACTGCAGCCTCTGATGACACATGCCAAAACAAAGGGGTCAAATAGGGTGAAGATTCACAGGGAGCTTGCTGAACTTTTGGATGAGGAATTGCGCAGAAGAGGTACTTCAGTAATTCCATCTGGGGAAGCATTTGGTAAATGGAAAGGTTTAAAAGATGAGGAGAAAGATCATGAAATTGTTTGGCCTCCAATTGTTGTCATTCAGAATACGAAGCTTGAACAGGATGAAAATGAGAAGGTATAGCTATATATTTTATGGGTTTTATATTTCTCATTCAACATGAGAATTCAATTCTCATGTTGTAGAGACAAAAAGTATGTGGGATCCGTATGTTAGAAAAAATTATGTGTAGGACCCACGTTGGCACAAAAATCGAAGTGTGTAGGAAAATTCAAATTCTCATGTTAAATGAGAATTATAAAACCCATATTTTATTTGTGCCAAATGATGAATAACTAACACTATCATAATTATTATGTTGATCACTTGTATTATTATTATAGCTAAACATTCTTAATTTTCCTGTCATTGCTGGTTTTGCGTTAACTCTAGATTTTGTTCTCTGTTTTTAGTGGAAAGGTATGGGTAACCAGGAGCTTCTTGACTATTTTAGCTCATACGCAGCTATGAAAGCACGACACTCTTATGGTCCTCAGGGTCATCGCGGGATGAGTGTTTTGATATTTGAAGCCTCAGCTAGTGGTTATCTAGAGGCAGAGCGTCTGCATAAGCATTTTGCAGAGCAAGGAACCGATAAAGATGCTTGGTATAATCGTCGTATTTTATTTCTCCCTGGTGGGAATCGCCAACTTTATGGATACATGGCTACTAAAGAAGACCTGGACCTTTTTAACAAGCATTCCCAAGGTTCCGTTTCCTCTTTCTCAGTTATATTTCTTCTCCACACTCACATTATGCAGGTTGTTTGATGTCTACTAGTTGCAGATTAACCAATTCAGAACTATGAAAACAAATTATTTTCTGAATTATTGTCGTCTCTTTTTGCCTGAAATTGTGTAGGTAAATCTAGACTCAAATATGAAATGAGGTCGTATCAGGAGATGGTTGTAAACCAAATTCGGCAAATGAATGAGGACAACCAGAAACTTATCTATTTGAAGAACAAGGTTGTCAATGAAAAAAGGCGTTCAAAAGCTCTTGAAGAATCTTTTGGTATAGTGACTGAGAAGCTGCGAAAGACAACAGAGGAAAATCGCATTGTGAGGCGGAGAACTAAAATGCAACATGAAGAGAACAAAGAAGAGGTAATACTAACATCAGACAGACAGACTTCATTGTTATTTTAATTTTATTGAAAAGTGGTTACTTGGTGTATATATGCTTTGTTTGTGGAATGTACTTTTAGTATTTGATTATTTCTGTAGCCATTAAGTTGAGGTTAGGATATGCTTCTCCTTGACTGTTTTATTGAACAGTTTTAGCTGTAATTTGTGTTTTTTGTAGTACAAGAGTAGATAAGCTAAAGATAGTGTCACATTTTCTTTCTCTTCCCGTACAGATATGGTTTTGAATATAAAAACGTGATTTATGTTCCCGTCAAACGTCAGTTTGACCTGTCAAGTTGGACTAGCAAGGAAGAAGAGATCCAATTGCATTTATTGCCACCTAAATGTTGTGTTGTTACTGTTCTACCTTTTCCCTTTCATCTTAAAAGTTTAAAAAAACAATTCAATGAGCAATGATAATGAGTTGCACTGGTCCTGAATGCTTTATGTTATTTATCAAGAAGGATTATTATATAGTGCTTTAAAACAAAGTACATGATCTTTGAAAGATCTGGATATGGGTTGATTAATTCTGTTTTGTTGTGAAGGTCTGATGCATACTGCTGATGGCCCAGTTTTCCAGATCAGTTTGTGTTTGATTAATCAATTTATCCAATGACCTCTACTATGTGTCCTGTTAATTTCATTCAAGTTATTGGTTTACTTTTTTTTTTTATACTAATGTAATGCTTAACTAATATTTAGTGTTATCTGTTCTCTGTTCTAAAGAGAAAGTTGTTATATGTTAATTATCTGCACTTGGGTGACTTCATCCTCGTTTTCTCTTCTGGTTAGCCATTGTTGTTAATGTTCTCTAGGTTATGATTTACTTCTCTCTGTTATGATACATTTCGTCTTATTTTTAACTTTTTCTCACCTTTGTATTCTGTCTCTCAATGGAAGATGTACATGCAAGAACAATTCTTTAAGGACCAGATCAGAATCATTCATGATTCAAGGAATGCGAAGGAAGAAGATTTTGAGAGGGTGCAGCAGACAGAACGTAAGAAGGCAGAGCAGTCAAGTACTAGTCCTTTAAATGCTGAGGAGCGGAGACTCAAGTATGGAATTGTCATTTGTTTCGACTATATTTCAATTCCAGTCTAATGCATCTGAAGCTAGTATATTCTAATAAATTTGTGAAAATTAGTATTTTTTAGGTGATTCTAAGTTAGATGTTTGAAGGACAAATTGGAACGAAAACCTATTTCACATGACTCTGAAAAATTGATGTGTTGTAGGAGAGAGTATGTAGATGTACTACAGAAAAAATATTGTCCAGCTATTTGGGTAGAGGTATTAATATTTTTCATCGGCTCATGGTGAATTTTGATTTCTTTGTATGTAGGATGGATGAATATCTAAAATTTGTTGAGGTCCAAGATAAAGAAATGGAGAACTTTGTTGCTGAAAAGGAGAAACTGTATCATGCTCATGAAGAGAGTATTGCTGCAATGAGGCTGAGGCATTGGGAGGAAGAGGTGCAGATGGAGAAAATGTTTGATGAGGAACTGACCAAACTCATGGAAAAGTACTCCCCATCTGACCCAGAGACGAAGTCCAACGGTATCTAATGGTAGGGTGTTTCACAGACGCATACAAACAGATAAACAGCGAAATAGATAATAAGAGTGCCTAGATATCTGCTTTCTGAATATTGGGAGTTTGAAATTTGAGTATGTTGTTTTCTTTTCTAGTTTACATTTGACAGTATATGCTTGGAGATAGAAAACTACTTAAAAATTGAAATGATCGTGCATGTAGTACTAATGACTAGAATTTCTGGTTTCATTGACCTTTTTTTTACAAAATGGAAACTGAGTTCCTTTGTTGGTATCTCGAACCTAAGTGAATTATTAAACATTTATCAGCTGGTTTTACAATAGATGGTTGAAAGTTAATTAAAAACTAACCACTAGTAAATATTTGATGACTATCCTTCCAATTAATACCCAAGTTGCATAGGTATAAGTTTTTATTTTACAAATTGCATGCCTAGTCAGCTAATTCTAAATGAGTAATAGGCGTTCTCTGTCTCTATTAGGTACCTATGTCATTTAATGGAGAAATTTTTTTACACTCATGGAGTTACATTTTTTGAAATGAACCTAAGTTAGTTTGTAAGATAGGAGACAAAGTTTATATAAATCCAACACTAGAACTTTTAAGTCTCATACCTTATAATTGAATGGTAGCACTTGATAACCCTGGATTTATATCGGAGGTCCAATGAGTTGACCGGTACTCCCAGAAATTTTTAAAGTTTCTTTCTGTAAACAATTATTTCTTCATGTAATGTTAGCCGCCTGACGAGATATTTTAGCGAATGCTATTTAGGCATTTGAAACCTTAATAGACAAGGTAACATTATTCTTTTCCAAACAAAAAACGAGAGATATATCGTGTGACGATATCATATTGCTTGCCCGTAATTTTCTGCATGTTGCTTTTGATGCAATTTTAACACCCTGAAGTTTAAAGTCATTCCATGCAGATTAAGGGTTATGGGTTTGGGTGGATTGCATGTGAATATAAATTGAAACGTGATGAAGAATTAATTCCATGGTGAAGCTTTCAAGTTTCATGTGCATGAGAAAAGCATAGTATATATTTTTGAGAAGTGAAGGAGAAGAGAAAAAGAAATGGAGAAGAGGCCTTCTCTCTCTCTCTCTCTCTTTTTTTTTTTTCGGTGGTGAGTATCAAAAGGGGCTGAAGGTGTTTTTGGTTAAAAAGAAAAAAAAAACTAGCGTCACATGATTCAGTTGCCCTTGGCCTATATTCTAAGTTATGTATAGGGCAGGGACAATTTTATCCAAATTAAATTCTTTTACACCCATTCATTTATTTATTTTACTCTTTAATTAAGCTTCAACCATAAATCATAACCTTAATAGTAATCCTTAATCAAAGCAAAATTTTTGGGTGTTATACTATATCAGATAAATTTTTAACTGCTAATGAAGCAGATAAAATTTAATGTCAATATTTCCATTTGATAAACAACCAACATATAGTTAAAAATTACCATAAGAGATTATCAAAAAAAAAAAAAAAACTACCATAAGCAAATAAATTCTTACCAAACGAACAAAGATGGAATCCAAACTGAGATTTTTTTTTTTTTTTTTTAAAGAGAAAAAGGGTAATAAAGAGAGAATGGTGTAAAAGGCAAAGACAGCCAAAGAAAAAAACCGAAGTATAAGGACGAGTGCAAAAACTAGAAATCACGCGAGAATGATCCAAAGCAAGTGGGACAGATAAGAGTGACATGTACATCCCAGGACTTATTTGGATAAACCTTTTTGGTTAAGAAAATAGTTTAAAAGTGCATTAAACGGACAAATTCTTTTAAAAAAACATCTGTTTATATTATCAATTAGTGTAGTTTAGTTAACCTATAAAAACATGATTTATTCAAGTATTTATTCTCCTATTTAAAGAAAACAATTTACGAAGAGTTTCTTGGCAGATTGGGTCAACTTAATTTGAAATAATAACCCGTGTTTATGGACACTAATCACGAGTGACGAAATTGTTATGTCTGCATTTGTTTACACTGTAGAGCCTTAGCTACAATTATTTTTTCCTTGTGTCACCAGTCTTAGTACCTAACTTCTTTGTTTATCTTCTTTAGACAAAGTGTTCCTATTTTTAATTGGGATTTGATTTTGCTGAAGTAATTTGCTCATGCCTTTATTGATCATTGCTAAGCTCGTATAAACGAAAGAATCTCGTAGTGTAAGCCAAGAAGGTAGCAAACCTTATGGAAATCTGGATTAATATATGAGTTTGATGTTTCTAAGAGATAAAATTATTTTCTACACACATATAAAAGTGTATGAGACCCATGTGGGGTCATATGAAGATAAGAAAGAGAAAAAGAAATCATGAGGGGTGATTGACCCTTTTGCCCCTAATTAAAAAAATATTACAATTTTGCCCTCACACCAAACCATATCACTTATCTACACATATTTGACCGTTGACCGAGTTATGTACTCGAGTATAGGACCTTGATACTCGAGTATTCTTCGCAAAATAGTGTATAGTCGAGTACACTGGTTGAATACTCGAGTATTGTTTTTCATCTGGGTTTTTTGAAGCATTATGTACTCGAGTCCATGAGTGGGGTACTCCAGTATTCTTCAGAGCTGAGTTTTATTTATAAAAACCCTCGTATCATTCATTCTCCCTCCTCACATACCCGAGTGCAATCTCCTTCACTTAGCCACTGAAATTAACCGGTCATTCTCCCACCATCATCATCCTCACCTTCTTCAACCAATTGGAATCTTATTTAGGTATGTATTTTTTTTTATGAACCCTAACCCAAATCTCCCAATTTTTCCTCGAATTTTTTGTTTATTTGTTAGTTTTTTTGGGTTTGTTGTGTTGATTAGCATGTGAAAAGCCTGTTTGGATCCTCTTTTTTGAAGCTAGAAGCTACTTATAAGCTAAAACTAAAAAAAAAGAGCTTAAATAAAAGCTAAAAGCTGCTTGGTAATTACATAAAAATTTAGCTTGAAAGTTACTTAAAAGCACATATTTCAAGAAAACTATCTCTCTCTCTCTCTATCTTTATAGGTCTTCATTTAAAAAAACACACACACAATTCAAGAAAAACACATAAGAGCTTAAAAAAGCTCCTCCTAGGAGCTTTTAGCTTTTTTCTTCATTATATAAAAAAGAGCTTTTCATTATAAAAGTTTTTCTCAAAACCTGTTTGGCCTAGCTTATGCTTATAAGTAGCTTCTAGCTTAAAAAAAGAAGATCCAAATAGGCACGAAATTTGCTATGAATTAGAGTGTTGAACCCAAATTTGTGAAACCTTGGTTTTCCAATTTGGGTTTTTTTTTTTTGCCGAATTATTCATTGTTTTTTTTGTTATTTTGTGTTTTGTGTTGTTGATTTAGAACTTTTTTAAGATTTGAAATTGTGAAAAAATAACTGACAAACATACTTCTAAGAAAGCCGCATTGACCACCGAGCAGAGGACAAAGTGCTGACATGATGCGTCCTCATCCTCTCAGCCAGAGCCAGCTGTGGAGAAGTCTCCTAACATGCCATTCAGTTATTTATTTAACAATGACGTGGTGGCACACGAACGGTTCGTGAAGAACTTCATGAATCACGCCATATGCGACCTGAAATCACTGAATTATGCGTTCTTCAACTTCGAGGGGTTTCACATTATGACACTGCTGGGACAGACACATCTCTTGGTGCTTGTGGAGATCGAGTGCCTGTATTCAGAGGTTATTGTAAGGGCGTTCTATTAGAACCTCCACTACTCATAGGGTGAGCTGACATCCCGTGTCTCTAGAATTGATATTGTCATGACTGGCCCTATGTGGACGAAGCTCCTCGGCTTCGACTTTGATGCTCTACTATGCAGCCATGTACAATGGAGACTCCTATGCTATTTTTGATGGTTATCATTGGGATTCAATTGTCGTCGAGACCTAGAGGGCCTCTCAATCTGTCATTATACCCCTAGAAGTAGAAAGAATTACAATCCCTGATGCAGAGGCTGGCCAATATGCTCAGTATCTTGTGAGAAATCAGTCTACGCCTGCTCACATATTGCATTATGTCATGAAGGTGCTGGAGGGTGATTATGTTATTATGTGGGCCATCCTTCACCAGATTAGGGTGTACAAGAGGCACTATATATATGGATACTGATGCATAAGGCTACGAGGTCTAGAGTCGCTCCATTTCTTTATGCATACCTGGTTCAGAAGATACTGCATAGTTTTGGGGTGCGTATGGGGAATGAAATCCTGAAGACTCACTGGTTGGAATTTCAGGTTCGACAAACGTCTATCGCAACAATGTGGGATCACTGAGAGGAGGGGGTGTGTGGTAGTGGAAGTTTGAAGTCCCCCTACATTGGGGTGTAAATGGGCCGAGCCGCTTGTCAGGGGCCCAAAGCTTGGCTTAGCCTGGCTTGTTTAATAAATAGAACGGGATCAAGCTTTAAAAAAAGTTTGTTTAGCAAACAAGCCCAAGCCTAAGTTAATGAGGCTTGATTTGAAAGCCCGCGAGCTGACCTGATATATTATTATAATAAATAATATATAATTTATATCACTGAATCATTAACCCTACTTTTGTAACTATATTTTTTTACTATTGTCTACTGGTATTCTCTCACAGTAACAATTTCACAAACAAGCTCTCTGACTATTGGTCTCTCTTTTCTACCCTCGGTCACTCACCTTTTCACGACTTTACCCCAACCTTCTACTTAGCGCAACTCTAGTAATCAATAAAAATCTTTAACTCCACAAGCAACTGAACAAACCTAGGTACTCTTTCTCAATTCCTCTTTCTTCGATATCGAAATTTAATGCATTTGTAATCTCAACATTTGGACATATGTGAGTTTGGAAAAAATTCATTTTTATAATTATAAATGTGCTAAGATAAGCTCAAGCCAAGCCTTTAATTTTTCATGAACAAGCCAAGGCAAGCCTAGAATTTAACTCGTACCAGACTAATAGGCCAAGCTCAAAATATTTCTCATAGGCTTGGCTCGACCCATCTCATTTACACCCCTACCCCTTCATGATGATGCACAGATGGACGATGCACTTGCTGATGACGATGATGGTGAAGATGGCGCTGCTGACGATGCTGATGCACCTGCACTTCTCCCCCATGTTCGACCACCACCTCCTCTAGCTCCCAAGGGTGGATGGACTATTGACCATGTTATGACATCCATGCATAACTTGACGTGGGGCCTTAACTCCTTGACACATGAGTTTAGGGATTTAGACAGGCACAAGGCATGTGGCGGTCTGATATGGAGTTGAGGGTAGGACGCTTGGAAGTAGGGTACATATAGGGTCCACGCACTGTGGAGGAGCCTGATGTTGTTGTTGAGTCTGCTTCTGAGGAGGAGGGGGGCCATGAGGATGAGGTGATGCACTCAGATACCAGGCATAAGGGATTTTTTTTTTGTATTTAGGGTTTATTTTGTACTTAGAAGTTTATGTAATGAAGTTTTATTAATGAAATTGTTCCTATGTTAATGTTTAATGACTTTATGTTTACATTTTAGCATGAATATTGTTATTTTGCCGCTTAAACTTGACCTGAATGACAACTGACTCATTTTACATGCGCAAACCCCCTTCCCAAGTCCAAATGCATTAGAGTGTGTCAATTGACTCAAGTTTTGGTCATTGTTGACCTAAATGACAACTTGGTATGTTGAAACCAAGTTGCCTTTAATGGTTTTGTACCGTTACGCACTCAGGACCGTCTGTAACCTTATGATGCCTAGAAGACCTTCCTTAAGTCATAATGTATAAGTATATGCATTTACAAAGACATTTGGACCAAAAAAATTCCTGGACCAGAAGATGGATTGCAAAACCTAGCTAGTATACTCGAGTAACATGTAGTGGTTTATCGAGTATCAAGTACTCAAGTAGACAACTTGAGTATACCAATTGGGTTTGGTAATCCAACTTCTGTTCCACGAATTTTTTTGGTCCAAATGATTTTGTAAATGCATACACTCGTACATTATGACTAGGGGAGAGAAATATAGGCTATATAACACCTACCATGCTTAAAATTTCCATCATTGTGCAACAACTCAAGATTTAGGTTGGTTTTAGGGTAACAATGTGTGATTCACCAACAAGAATGACATAATGCCTTGCTTTGTGTTCTGTATTACTATAGTGGGACTAGGGATGACAATTTGTGTGATATAAACAAATGCATAATATATAAAAGGAACAACAAATGCATAATAAGTTCATCACATTTAATTGAATAAAATGTCGAAAAGTGAATAATACAAGACACCAGCTTACTTTTGAGTACATCTCACAATACAAAATACAGTTAAGCTTGTCTAATTCTCATTGTACATGTACGTATATATGACCAACTTGCTTGCAATCCCTACTGTGGAAACAATGCACTCAAAATGAAGAATATAGAATTCAAGGATTCTGATGATTATAAACAAACATAGAAATAACCTCAAGCATTACAACTTGCAACAATAAAAAAGAAGTCTAAAGATTCAAGCAAAGATTGTGAAGTCCATCAAGACAATGGACAAAGCTTAAAGAAGATCAAGCCCCAAGCTTCAAGAGAAGAATCTAAACCCAAAGTGTCCATAAATAATATTTTAGAGTTAATTGTGATGGTGATTGATTACTTGCATGAAAAGCTTAAAGTTGTTTTTCCAAAACACATGCATTAAATCATCATTTGATAATGAGAAAGTTTCCTAGCATATCTTATTTATGAAAGATAATATTAGACATTTATCAAATGCTTAAAACTGATTACAATTTAGTTGAAACAAAGAAAATCAATCCTGAACGCATTTCCAACATTTGCAACAGGCTGGGAATCGATTCCCTGCATATGAGAATTGATTCCCTCTCTCTGGAAAAGTTGGGAATCGATTCCCAGAGCAAGGGAATTGATTCCCTCCTGCACTAGAAGACAAAAATAACGGCCATAAAATGGCTAGTTTGCGAAAATGGCTGAATAAACACTCATGGGGGGCTTCTACAAATAGGAATCATTGTTCCATTGATTTGACAACACTTCTTGATCATTATTCTTCATTTAAATCATATTGTTTGCTTATTCTCATTCATCTTGATCATAAACACTCTGTGAGCTTTATTCTTGTGAAAGTGTCAACGCCAATAGTTCTTCAACTTGTATAATTTGTACTTTTAGAGTACTTAGCTATTGTTAAACACCTCCATTTGATTTCTTGAATAGTTAGGGGAGTGAACCCTTTACACTTGAGAGGTCACCAAATTCTTAAGAAAATTTGGAGTGAAAAATTGTAAGGCATCAAGAGTCCGAAGTCTTGAAAGGTTGTAGTGGTTTGTCAAGCACCCTCAAGCTTGATAGCTAGTGAAAAAGTTTGTTCGAGCGGCTTCAGTCTAGACGTAGGTCACGGTGGTGGTGACCAAACCAGGATACATCTAGTTTGCAATTTCTCTAACCTTGAACTCCTTGCTTTAGTCTTGAAATTGCATTTTTAGATTGTGTTTATTTATTCGCTTGCTTATTTTAGTGATCACACACTTACTCATACACTTAGATTTTTCCTTGTTAAATCATTTAATTGAAAAAATACTCTTTAAAATACAAAGGAGGTTCTTTGCGAAAAGATTTTATAAAACTCAATTCACCCCCCCTCTTGAGTATTGAAGCCACTTGTCCAACACCTACATCTACTCTGGCTGCTTGAGGGTTGAGACTCAACCTAATCCATCGTATTATGTATTCTTGAAGACTTTGGTCTTACCTTTGCACGTACCAAGTTTGTATCTGGGATTACAATTGGGTCATCGCCTGGTGGAATCAATAACTCATTGCCGATTGGATACCAGTGTGCAACATATACCTAAGCAATGTATCAGATGGAGAATACATGGTCAACATAATCATAATGGTTCAAGGTTGCTGCCTTGCACATTGCTATGATGTGGCTGCATGGATACTTATATGTTGTGAACTTGCCACATTGACATTTGTGATTGAACAAGTCCACCCTCATTGATTGACCAACATCATGTGTAGATTGATTATATCCCTCATTGATGATATTGAGTCGGATGATGATTGGATTGTGGAACCAACATATGAAGCATTTTTGGAAGATGTTGAAGAAGATCAAGATCCCTTTGGCTTGGATGATCCAAATGAAGAAGAAGAGAACTTGAATAATTTGAAAATTCCCGAATTTATTGGTGAATTTATTAGTGGAGAAGGGGATGAAGAAGATGATATTGACTTGAACTCCAATGACTTAAATTAGAGATGTTAATATCTTTTATAATTGTATTACCTAGGTGTTTTGATTTTAATATGTATTATGATGACTGAGTTTGAACTTAACTTTTATTTCCTTTAGTGTTTGCACTTATATTTGTGATGACTTATGTATTGGTGTGTGTCGGATATTTTTTTTTTTTTGATACATAGTAAACTCTTACGTTTCGTTTACGTTTCTCGATTTTACATTTTTGCTTTCCCCTACTGTTTCAACGTAGACTCTACGTTTTAACAACGTTGCCCTACAACAAAAGGAGAGGAAACAAAGGTTGCTGGTACGAAGAGGACAATATCTAAACTCCATGAGAGAAGGCAATACACAATGCCCAAATCAGACCCATCTATCCCAAACATACATGTTTTTCTCCCTCCAAGTCAAGAAATTCAAGTTTTCGTAACAGCCCCTTATCCGGGAATTTAAGTCATCTTCAAAGCCCCATCACCCCTTGAACAATCTTCTCTTTATTATCTGTTCCGGAAGAAGAAAGGAAAGAAGTGTCAGCAATACCTGAAGTAAACAAAGAAGATAAAGCTATAAAAGAGAGGCGATTTTATTTTTATCCATCACCGCGGTGTAAACCAGGATACTCTGAACCAGAATTGGTCACTTTGTTTCCCCAGACATTTCCAAAAACAAGTATAATTTTGGCAACCCTAAGCTGCAATTCTGTTCTTCAGCAATCTTCAAATTACAGGGAAAGTACTACAAATAAATCAAATAAATTTGTAGTGTATACCTCCTTTTTACTTTTTATTTTCTTTACTAATGTTACCTACCTACAGAATTAAAATAGATATTTTACACAAGAAAAATGAGATTGGATACTCGAGTTTAAAATTAAAAATTCAACCAAGCTTTATGACACTTCAAATGCCTCAAGAATAGAACTCATCTATGAAATGTGTCTGCATGATTTCTCCTGCAACTCCATGAATGCCATCATGCATAAGCAAGACAAGCTAAAACTCCACCGGTTCTTTAATTTGTTGATCCAATGTATTTAGTGTACTGTAAATAATGCTTCTTCGTGGGTGGGAACAGTCTCCAGCCACAAAAATGTTATTTGTCTTCTCAACTTCGATCCAGCTGCATCCTGCTGGCTTTTTCAAATCTTTGTTCCTCATCATCCTTCTGACCTCCATGACTCCATCCCATTTAGCATCTGCTGCATACAAATTTGACAATATGATATAGTTTCCAATATCGTTAGCTTCAATTTTGAAGAGTTGGTCTGCTACAATACGCCCCAATTCTACTTCATGATGGATTTTGCAGGCCCCAAGCAATGTCCCCCAAAGATTTGCATTAGCTTTAACTGGCATCCTGGTCACAAGAGAATATGCTTCACTAATGCGGCCACCTCGAGCTAGGAGATCTACGACACAAGCATACTGTTCCATGGTTGGTTTCATACCATGGATTTTCTCCATTGAATAAAATATCTTCAGGCCTTCATCTACTTTGCCAGCGTGACTGCAAGCAGATAATACAGATGTAAAGATAACATGATCTGGCTTGATTCCCAGTTCGAGCATACGTGAAAAAATCCCAAGTGCTTCTTCACTCATGCCATGCATAGCACACCCACAAATCATAGCAGTAAACATAACCAGATCCTTATCAGCACTTGATTGAAATATCTTACATGCACAGCCTATGATGCCACATTTGGCATATGCATCTAAGAGGGCTCCTTTAAGGTGAAGATCCTCAAAACAAGACCGAATAATATACCCATGACACTGGCTCAGCAAGTGGACTGATGCCATTTGTGTGCATACTGGAAGGAGGCTCATGATAGTCACTACATCAGGCTTCATCCCTCGAGCTTGTAAGTCATAGAACAAACTGAGAGCTTGCTCAGGACAATCATTTTCAGCATATACTCGAACCATAAGATTCCAGGTGGTAAGGTCTGTCTCTGACATCCCACTAAATATCATATTTGCATCATGATGTGATCCTAACCCCACATAACCTGAAATCAGTGAATTGCATGTGACCAGATTTCTTTTTTCTGATAGATTCCAAAACATTTTGTCAGCATACTCCATGTTACCACATTTAGAATACGCATCGAGTATTGCATTCCCAATTGCTGTTGTAGTATCACTTAATATAGATCCAGCCCTAATTGAATAGTTGTGTATTTCTTTAACCTTTTCTACTCTCAAAAGAGATGCACAAAAATGGATTATGGTCAATATTGTAACTGAGTCAGGTCTAATTCCTAGTTTAAGCATCAAACGTAACAAGCTGAGAAATCTTGAATGATGCCTCTTCTCTCCAAAGGCATCAAGAATAGAATTCCATGAAATCAAGTCTTTCCTGGATATCATAGAAAAAATATGATATGCTTGTTCTGTATAGCCACATTTTGCATAGAAACTAACTAAAGCATTTCCAATGGCAGTATCTTCAAAAAGGAAAGGATGTCTTAAAATATATGCATGGATTTGTTTCCCCATCTGCAAGTATTTCAATTGCGCACAAGCCGGAAGTATGCTGACAATGGTCACAGAATCTGGCAATAACGTCTCAAGAGATAGTAAATTACCAAACAGATCCAATGCTTTTAACCATTCGCCATTGGATGTGTATCCTGCAATAATAGCATTCCAAGAGACCAAATCCCTTGAATCCATTGCCCAAAACAAAGATTCTGCTTCTGTCATCCGTCCAACTTTTAAGTAGAAGCTAATCAAAGAATTATAGACAGAAATATCAGCTGACAATTCAGGCCATTGCAGCACATGAGAGTGGATTTGCCTTCCCCGACGATAGGCAACATTCTTATCAAATGAAGCACAAACAGGCAGAATATTTGCAACAGTTGCATAATTTGGTTGTATAGGTCCTTTCACCATTAAACTGAACAATGTGAATGCATCTTCTAATAACCCATTCTCAGCAAAGCCTGCAATCATTGCATTCCACGAAACAACATCTTTGTCAATGATATTATCAAAGACAGCATATGCATCATGAGACACCAGCCCACACTTTGCATACATTGACACAAGCGCATTTCCATCAAGGGTGCCTGCTTCAAAACCAGATTTGATAACATAGGCATGCACACTCTTTCCAGCATCCAGATCCCCTAAACGAGCACAAACAGGAAGAACAATAGCAACAGTAACTGAATTGGGCATAGCTTCCCCACTCGAATGCATTGTCCTAAACAACCTAATCACATCACCATCATATTTGTTGGACCCTGAAAACCCAGACAAAACAATATTCCAAATAACAGGATCACAATGGCTGAGCTGATCAAACAGCTTGAGGCAGTCATCAAGCATGCCGCATTTAGCATACATGTTAAGCAACGCTTTATTGGTAACCTGGCAAGAAACATGACCTTGTTTAACAACATAACTATGCAGAGCTCTGCCCAAGTTGGTAGCCAAAAGGGCAGAGCAAGATTTGAGAATGGCAGCAAGGACATTGTGATCTGGTTTAAAAGCTGCACAACCATTTAAGCTGTGACGGAAAAGGGACAATGCTTCATTGTGCCTGGAATCTACACATAAGCTCCTAATGATGGAACCCCATGTCCTGAAATTGTGTTGAAGCATGCCCACAGGAAGCTACAAAGGGGACTTTAACGTTAGACTACCTTTGAAAACAGAACAATAGAGTTGAAAGCCACGACAAGCTCAAAACTTGGGCTTTCTAATTCCTCTTTCTTGTACGAAATAAATAATAAGGATAGTGTTCGTTGGCATTTTCACAAGCAGGTAGCGTGCTAAATGAAAAAGTCCAATCAACGCGTTGGTTTCTGGCTACAAATGGATTAACGGGAAGTATCTGGCTGCTGACTTTTGTATTCTCCGACCATATGGCCCGCCGCCGTTTACGACGGTTTCTTCGCCGGGAAAGTGACCATCCGCGGCACCTCCAGGAATAGATTGAGTTTTCTAAATCTTTAAATTTGGAACACACTTTTACAACTAGTGCGCACAATGTCATCTTCCATTAAAAAAAGGGGGAATATACTGAAAATAATATATATATTCCGAGTAAAATAATCTTGTGAATTTTATTTGGAGTAATTCTATTTATTACGAACTCTTTTACAAATTATAACGAAATTGAGTTACATATTCGCAGTTCAGGTATTTCATTCTTAAAAGTATTTTCTTAATAAAAAATCATATATTTTTTGTGTGTGCATATAACGTGTATATTTAGGGCAATATAGTAAATATATTTTGCTTGAAATGACTCATTTTTCTTTTATCAACGGACAATCAAGATCCTCTTTTGGCGACGTGATATTGTATTTTAATTCAAATACTAAACATTAGTATGATAAGCAAACAGGTATCCATACTTACAATTATAGTGGTATATTAATATTTCTGTTGATTTTTTTTAAAGAAAAATAAATATATAATAATAATAATAATCATCATTGTTTTAAATGATAAGCAATTTTTCTGTTCAATCAAATTTTTAAAATTTAAAAAATAAAAATGGGGAAAATGAATGTTGAGAGATCAGAATATTAGATAAAGCAGAAATTAAAAAATAAATAGATATTATTTGTAAACTAAGAGTATTAATTAATTCTATTTTAATTTGAAATTATTAAAATGATTATTTAAAAATAATTTAATGTTACGTTATTCATCTAATTTTTTTTTTAACCTTTTTACAACTTGATGAATAAATAGGTTAGTTTGTTTAAGTAACTGCAGTTTGCATCTTGGCCACTCGGTTCATTCCACTAGGCCCTTTCCTTTATTAACGTCAAATACATCAGCAACACCGTCGTAGTATTCGTTTCAAATATTCGATTCCATCACTGATCTTTCTCTCTCTTTCCCTTTCTCTCTCTCCGCCGAAGATGGCGCCGCCAGCGGCAGTAGTTGAAGGCGGCCAGGCGCCGCAAGGGAGGCAGCAACAACAGCAAGGAGGGTTTGGCCTCACCGGAATCATACGCATGGCGGTTTTCTGGTACTTCGCTACTAAATTCTTCTCTCCCAAAAAGCCTGTCGAAACTTCCGCTCTCATCTCCAACCTTTTCCAGAAAGCACAGCCTCTGGTGCACTCTCTCTCTCTCTCTCTCTCTCTTCCTACTTCCCCCTCTGCTAACTCAACTTCCATTGCATGATCATGATCTCACTTCGATTATTTATTATTATTATTATTATTTTGCATTTAGTTTTCGAAAAATTCAGTTATGCCGTGTTGTCTCCACTAGCAGTATTTTTCTTCTATATTCTCTTGTCTAGTGACTTAGATTGAGTTTTGAACATAGGTTAGCTACTTATAGGACGTTGATGATACTTTTAGGTTACGATTTTATGATTGAACGAAATTTCGTCTTGGCGCAGTATGAATATTTATGTGAGATAGTTTTGTTCTCGATCAAAGTCTCGAAATAAACAACTCGTGCAGAGAAAATTAGGTTTTTGTGTACAAAAGGGAATTGCATATTTTTGTTCACTTAAGGAATGTAAGTTTGAACTTCACGAGGGGATTACATAACTGAAGGTTAACTTACTGGAAAAGAGATGGATAAAATAATTGTGTTGTGCATGAGCAGACAGAGTTTATCAGTATTATCTTACTACTAGCCTGTGTTCTGTTGTTGGTGCAAACTGCAATTGTTTTTCTAGTTCGTGTTGCTTCTTGTTTTCGTTCTTAATCAAGTTCTTTTTGGATGCCATTTTGTTCAGGATATGTGGCTTTATCTTTCTGAGCGTGAGAAGTTCAATGACTTTGGTGGTGAAAGTTCTCTTGTATGGCATGAAACCAATATTCCATATGCTGTTTGGGGACCTGAGAGTACCAGGTCCCTTAGTTTGAAATATCATCCATCTGAGGTATGACTGCCTGAAAATGATAAAGCTAGCTATGCATGATTTATTTATATTGGTTATTGAAGTTTAAAGTAGCTCCCTTAATATTGGACTTTATGGTTACTTATTCTTTTTCCAGTCTTTGAAGCACAATGGAAGTCTATATGCTCATGTTTTCTTTGCACAATCTGGATATTCACCTGACCCTAGTGACCCAGAATACCAGCCTCAGGCAGCATTTGGAAGGACACATCGTATGATTTTTCCTTCTCATTAATACTTTACTCACTTTAAATATGTTTAACTTTAAGAAAGTGGTTTACAAGATGTGTCTCTTTTTATTGGTTTCAGCTGTTGTGAAGCACTTGCCCAAGTCAAAAGCAGATAAAAGGAAGAGTCTATTGGGAAGTTCAGCAGATTCTAGTGAGGCTCAAGTGACATCCAAGGTTTGTTATTTGCTCATATTTTTATAATTAGCTTTTTGTGAACTTGTTATGATGGTACTTTGGTCCTTCAGTTCAAGATCTTTATTCTGTTGAGTTTTGACACATTAGAACTATCATATTATATTCTTCATAATGTCGAGATACTTTTATAAATTTCATATTTCATCATAGCTTGAACACGAGGAGGATTTTTGAAAGCATTGTCTTTATCTTCCCTCTTACATATTTGTCCTCTGTGTTAGTTGGTAGCATGACGATGCCACAGTATATGTGAGATAACTTCTTGTATCTTGATTAAGTATTATTATTGTTTACTTCTTTACTCTGATATAGAAAAATAGACACTTGTTGAGAGTGGGAAAAACTTGGATACTTTCTTAAATAACAAAAGTTGGGTTAGGACATTCCATCAAAGGACACATGCCAGAAAATTTATGTAAAGGTTCCAATAAAATTTAAGTCAGGGTTCACAAGACCTTTCTTAATAGGAGATTATACAGTTTTCTGTTGAAGCATGGATTTGCATTTTTTTAAAAATTTATTTGTTTACTGTCTGATACTAGTGAAGTTCTATTTCTAAAGAACAGATGGAAACTAATACACGGATGCAGCACCTTTAGGGGACATGCAAGTAATGCTGAATATTAGTGTTCAATGTTTGCCACCAGGATATGTTACTTGCTGATTTCATGATGATCTCAATATTTATCACTTTTGGTTGTGTTAGGTGGTTGATGATGCTGAAGATGATTCCAATGACGATGGTCCTGTGGAGTGGGTTTCATATTGGAAACCAAATATAACTATAAACTTGGTTGCTGATTTCACTCAGTATGTTTCTTGGAATTCATTAAATTTGTTGGTGCATTTTCTTTTATCTATACGTGCTGGTGTTTTGCCAGTCATTATTTCCGTTTATAAATTGATGTGTGATGATTATTATTCTGTCATTCTATGAGAAAATGTCACACAGGAGATGAAAGAGACAGTCAGATAAATTGGCCTTCTTTTAATTGGAATTATTTTGGTCTTTAGTTTTGCATTAGCTAGTACCAGGGATGATTGAAATATTTAGCCACCTTACTTAGAATGAAAATCAATTTTTACTCTTCCTTTCTCTTTGGATTGGAACTTCACAAAATTTATTTTCGAAGATTCAGCTGTTTATTCATGAATTCCACCTAGATCATAACAGCTTAATTGGTACTTTGGGATGCCCATCACTCTACTCAAGGAGAGAGAGAGAGAGAGGGGGGGGGGATGAATTGAGTTTTAAAAATATTTTCGCAAAATGCCTCACTTTCTTTCTTGAAAACGAATTTCTTGAGTTTATATGATTTGACACAAGTAAAGTTTAAAGAATAGAAATTAATACAAGCAAATAATATGCAAAGTATGAATTTAAATATGCTCAAGTATTCTAACAATGCTTATGTAAAGAGATAAGGAGTTAGAGAGATTGCAAATAAGATATATCCTGGTTCGGTCACTACCACCGTGACCTATGTCCAGATTGAAGCCGCTCGATCAACTTTCCACTAATGGTCAAGCTTCAAGGGTGCTTGACAAAACCACTACAAACTTCAAGAATTTTGGTTCTTGAAACCCTTACACTTCCACTCACTTTCTTAGGCTATGAGCAACCTTTTCACTAGGGTCTCACTACCCTCAACTTAAATAAACAGAAGGAGAGTGCTTAGAAATGGATTTGTACTCTTAAAGTACAGATTATACAAGTTGAAGCTTATGGGTATTGATCAATGACACAAGAATGAAGCTCAAAGAAGTTTTATGATCAATATGAGTAAGAACAAGTAATAAATGTGTTTGATTTAATGAGAATAATAAAAAATGATTGCAAAATCAATGGAACAGTAATACTTCATGTTCTGAATAGCAATAAATGAGTTTATATAGGTGTTGGTACTACAGCCCAGTAAGTATTCGAATACTTTTCGTGAGGTATTCAAATACTTCATCAAGTATCCGAAAACTTTTCATAAGGTATTCAAATACTTTGTTCTCAGCACAAGTATTCGATTACTTTCTTGTCAGAACTTAAGTATTGCAGTTTTCGAGTTGCAAAGCATTCCAATCTTGTCTCTAATCACTTCTAGTAAAATTCCTTGACTTGATAAAATTGTTTCGAGGTTACAAAAAGTGTCAAGGGTCTTTTTCATGAGTTATTCAAAAACTTTCAAGTGATTAGTGTCATGGATAATGCATGTACTTAATTAAGTATCCTTTGAGCTCATTTATGCACCATTAATCAATTACCTTTACATTCAGATCTAAGCCCCAAGGATATACTACTATCTTGATTATGTGTGTTGAAGGTTTTGCTTCTGTTGTCTTGTTGAATTGCTTCCTTGGACTTTTTGATTGTTGCGAGTTGTATTATCCTTGAAGTCGCTTCCAAGCTTGTTTGTTATCATCAAAACTCTTGTATAATTGTACTCTTCATTTTGAGTGCATTGGTTTCACATATCATTCTCAAGACTGACAATCCTGGTAAACTAAAATTATTGTTGTTTAGAAATCACTTAATCTCAGTAGAAGATCATGACTATAGAATCCTGGATCT